GACTTGTGTCTCCAGGCTTCCTCGAGTTTCCCCCTTCCGGCCCTTGATGACAATGAAAGTGGGTGATTTCAAAACTGAGGTTAGACCTGCATAGCCCAGACAAGTAGTGAATTGTACTCCGTGTGTTCTTGCTGCATCGTGGTAGCATCTGTGACTGGCCCTGTCACCACACACTAGTTAGGGTTCCTGCCTGAAGCCAAGACAATCTGGCTAACAGGGAACCTTTTTAATACAATTACCAGTGATGTCAGAGGAACAAGTTTGTGTTCTCTTCTCTCTTCTTCTTCTTCTTCTTCTTCTTCTTCTTCTTCTTCTTCTTCTTCTTCTTCTTCTTCTCTCTCTCTNTCTCTCTCTCTCTTTCTCTCTCTCTCTCTTTGATATTGAGGCAAGATACCTAGCTCAGACTGGCCTGGAATGTCAGGAGCCCCCTCCCCCGTCCACCTCCCTCTCTGCTACTGGAAGCATGGAAGCACAGGGAAGGACCTAATGAGCGAGGAACGGGGACTCCACCCATTCGATAAAGAGTTGAAATTAATGAAATTCACTTAGGAAGTAGTGGACACTGGGCGCGCAGGACGTTGTTAACAGTAGGTAGGCATGGGGTAGTGGAGTAGACTAACTAAAGACGTCTCACCCAGCGCCAAAATCAGAAGACATACGGAGTCTCCAAGACATATCTGTTGGAGAAGTTTTGGAAGATCACTCAAAGGAAACCGTGTAGTGCCGGTAAGCAGCCGAATCAAGAACTGGCTTGCGCAGGCAAGGCACAGGCAGGCGTCCTGGCCTCGGGCCCGTAACTGCCCTCCCTGCCTGCAGGATGCCGGGCTTGGGGAGCCGTACTACCGACAACCGCCGGCAGGTGTCACTTTCCTGGCCTCCGAATCCACTGTGAGCTCAGCAAATGGAGGCGCTAGGAGGAGGCTGGGACGCAGTCAGAGGAACGGATTTCCTGGCCACGGAACATCCTGAATCTTGTTTCGGGGGGCGGTGGGGGATGTCTCTCTCTCCCTCTCTCTCTTTTTTCTTTTTAAATCAAATACTTACAAGTCATTTACTGGGTGTTAAGGCCTGCAGGGGTGATTGAGTGATCACGCAGAGACTCAGGTCCTGTCCCGGTCACCCTGACCTCAAAAGCAATGAGGGAATTTTTTTTTTTTAAGGCAGCAGCATGATTTCTGATGCCCAGTGCTTGAAAACTCAAGTTTAGGGAAGAAAATTCCCAGCTCTCAAGCCAAGCAAGAACCTTTGATTTTGTTATAAGGTAAGAGGGGCTTTGCATTCTTTAAACCCTTTTATTTCCCAGTGGCTTTAAAAAAAAAAATCTCTGAGGGCTGAGTTTGTCCCTGTGTGCTGGGGATGCAGAGATGAATATCAAGACCTTGGCTCCCGGGGGCACGATACAGATGAAGGTATAAGCGAGTTCATCCTAGCCTAATGTTGGTCGGATAGGCACTTTAACCATACCAACCGCAGAGCATAAGGGGGAACCAGGAGTTTAGGGCAAGACTCAAACCCAGGCCTAAAAGTCGCGGAGTCCCAGCGCTAATGCCCAGAGAGAAACGTCATTTGCCTTCTACCCAAGGACAGAGGCATTCTGACCCCTGATCTATTCTGACCCCCGAGCCTATTCTCTTAAAATTCATTTCTGTACTGTGCCTAGGAACCACCATCTACAATATATCTAACTTCCTTCTATGAGCTGGTATCCTAGAGTCTGGCTGAAGTTAGGAGAGAGCACCCATGCCTCCTCTATGTAGCCTGGTTTTTGTTTATCTGTTGCTTGGTTTTAGGTTGTTTGACTTCATATGCTGAGATTGTTTGGGCTTTTTTTTTTTCTTTGTATTTTTGAAATGATTTAAAAATTCAGAATTCCAGGAAAGACCTTCTGTTTTTTTTTTGTTTTGTTTTTTTTTGTTTGTTTGTTTTTTGGTTTTTTTTTTCCTTCCTCACTAGGCTAACAGAACACTAGCCATGTGGTTCCAACCCCTGGGGGTTTGGGTCTGCAAATATCTCCTCAGACAGGAGAAATTGTCTCTAATCCCCACAACACCCTTCGGGGCAGTATCTGGGCCCTCTGGCCTGATTGGAGCCCTAGGAATGAAGCTAAGCTGGAGAGAGAGCTAAAGGCTGCCTGGCCTCCAGCTATGTTGGGCTTTGGCCCCTTTTCTCAGAATGGGGAAACAGAGTCCTCCATAAGCACCTTTATCTCTATCTATTTTATTTGATAAATAAAACAATACAAGCCAGCAAGGCGGCTCTGCAGGTAAAGGCAATCCCTGGAGCTCACCTGGTGGAAGGAGAGGAACTTACTCTGGCAAGTGTTCTCTGAGCTACACACACACACACACACACACACACACACACACAAACACACACTAAACAAGTGTTTTTGACATATTTTAAAAACATACAAAACTCTATATTCAGCATTCCCTAAACGTTGTGTCCATTTTGTGAGTGCCCTCTTCAAAAAAGGAGTTCTGCCTCAGAGAGAAACACTCTATCCCAATACACACCTCTATTCCCAGCACTCCAGAGGCTGAGGCAGGAGGATTGCAAAGCCGTGTAGTTCCCGCCAGGAATCTGAAGCTTCTAGGAACCAAGTTACTATCTTGTGTTGGTGAGGTCTTCCGTGTATTTGCCCCATCCCAGTTCCCCCTAAATAAGTGATTTGAATGGTTTCAAGTGACTCAATTTAGAATATTAATCTATTAAATCCCATCATATTATACTTGTTAAATTGCTCCAGTCTATTAAAAAAAAATTGGAGCTGGATGTGGTGGTATATTCCTGAAATCCAGGGAGAAAGGTCACCAGTTCCAAATCAGCATGGGGTACATACACAGTCAGACCCTATCAAAAAAAAATTTAAGACAATTTTCAAAAAGGCATAGGTCTAGCAACTTAATAGATGACATATTGTTCTCTTTGTATCAGCCACTGATTCTTTTGAATGTGTGGCAGTTTGAATGAGAAATGTCCCCCACAGGCTCATGTATTTGAACACTTGATGCCCAGTAGGTGGCGCTGTTTGAGGCTGTGGAACTTTCAGGAAGTGGAGCATTTGCTGGAGGAAGTATGTGGGGGGGGGACTTTGAGGGAGTGTAGTTTGCTCCCCTTCCAGTTTGCTCTCTCTATTCAGATTTGCTGTTGGACGTATGATCTCTCAGCTTCCTGCTCTGGTCCCCTTCTCCCATGCTTCCCCACCATTATGGAGTCTCCTTCCGGAACCATAAGTCCAAATGAGCTCTTTGTTCCATAAGTGGCTTTTGGTCGTGGTGTTTTAGCACAGTAACAAAGCACAGTGTGCTCTCTATGACAATGTTGTCTCGAGTGAAGCTGGAGATGGAGCCTTATACCAAACAGCAGAGACATCCATCAAATCTGGGATGAACAACCTTCAGAGAAGCAATTGTTCGCCTTCGCAGATGACTCTGATCTCCCATCCTCTCTCCTACATCCCTGTGTTATCCACAAGCACTCCACACGGAACCTCTGCCTGGCCTGGCAGATCATTGACATCTGTGTACTGCCTTGACCTTCTATCTCATTTTATTTGCCTAAACAGTGACGTTCAGTTCCTCTTATGTCTCCTATTTTTACCTGCCGCTCTTTTACAGATCCTGGATTTTCCATCCCACCCCAGCGAGTAACTAGCCACACCTAGAAGCTGGCCTCCTTCCGGCTGCACGACAGCTTCCCGAGTGAATGACACATGTTTCTGGAAATGTGTTGGTCAGTCAGGACCATCTGAATCACGTTTTCAGAATACACTCAGCTGCTCGATCACTCAAGCCTTCCACCAGCCAGCTGCTTCAAGAATGAAGAACCTTTCTGTAATCCGAATGCAATGCTTTCTGGGGCTGGAGACGGGTACCATGGCTAAGAGCACACACTCCCCTTGTAGAGGACTGAGTTCCATACTAAACACCCACATAAGGTAGCTCACAACTGTCTGCAGCTCCAGCTCCAGGTGATCTGATGCCCCTTTGACCTCCAACTGTACACACACACACACACACACACACACACACACTGGCACTCGCATGTAAATAAGTTATTTTGTTAATTTTGGTATTTTAAATGCAGTGCTTTCTCCTGTCAAGTTCAGCATTCCTCCGTCCACCAGAGCAGCTGTTTCTCAGCCCAGTGGAACAACCACTACCACAGCTGCTGGCCCCAGTACTTCTGACCCAGCATCTGGTTCTGTCCCTGGCCCAGAGGCTGCCCCTGCCCCTGGCTTCCCCTTCCCTCCTCCTTGGATGGGTATGACCTATCCCACCTTTTGCCGTCCCCCCAATGCCTGTGCCCCCTACGGGCGTTGCCGGCCTGACCTCAGAGGAGCTTGCAGGCACTGGAGGGCCATGAGCAGCAGCCCCTGGAGGCCCTGCTGCAGAGTCTGTGCAACATACACATGCTACTGGATGCTGCCGCCATGCTGCAAATCAACCAGTACCTCGCTGTGCTGGCCTCCTTGGGGCCCCCCAGGCGAGCTACTTCAGTCACCCCACTGAAGAGGCTGCCTCTGCAGTGGTATCTGCTGCCCCCTCCACCAGCGTCCCCAGTTCTGATCCTCCATCCCCACCCCCAGGAGCCTCCTCAACAGCCCCTGAAGCTGAGAAGCCTCTGGATCCTGAGTCGGTGGGCGGTAGACTCTGCAGAGGAGCCTCCTGAGGATGGAGAGAACCTGACGGTGCAGAACTCCGCCGGCGTCACCTGCAAAAGCTGGAGTCCCCTGTTGCGCACTGACACTGCCCAGACCTGTCCCTCCCTGCTCTTGAGTGGCCCTCTCTGGAACACATCCTGCCACCAAGTGCCAGCTCCCTCTGTCTGCACAGGAGAGTAGCCCCCACCTGAGAAGGAAGTGGCAGGATCTCTGAGGCCAAGTAAAAGTGGCTGGGTTCATAGTTGATCCGTCCCGATGGCCCTGGCAGCCTGGTGGAGATGTTGGTCAGCTCTAACCTTCCACTTGTGCTGTGTTCTGCTGGGGCCTTGGAAGTAGAGGCTCAACCTCTAGGAAGCTCCTCTCTGCTTTCAGGAAGAAGGTGAAGCCCCTCCAAGCCCTGCTTGTGAGCGTGGGACCACGCTGCAGTGCAAACAGTATTACTTCTGTTCCCGTGTGTACACCCGAGGGGCTGAAGACAGACCAGGACCTGCCCCACCCTCTTGCCTAGACGGACACCCGTCTCCTTCCTCTACCCCAATCTCAGAAGCCCCTTTGTGATGGTGGCTGTGTACCCCCTAAGCTTTGTGGCATTTCCATGTCTTATTGGCAACCACACAACTCAGGGAAAGGAGTGCCTGGTGGTGGGGGAGAGGCGGGCAGCACTGAGGGACCCTGACCTGCCCCTCCCCAGGTTCTCCCCCCCCCCCCCCCCCCGTCCCCGTCTCACCCAGCAGCCACTGCCTGGTGGGCCTGGGTGACGGTGCCTACTACTCCTTAACCTCTGCTCTCCAGAATCCAAGGCAGGCCACCTCCAACCTATGGGACTCGAGTTCAGTATTGGAACTATTTCTGTACCTAGTGGATTTGGGCTTAATTTTGCCTTTTTTATTTGAATGCTTGAACCCAGGAAGGAGGGGCAGGTGTGAGGCTAGGTACCTGGATTTCCCATTTAGAACAGGCTCTGGGGCATGCAGAGACCATGCAGTCCAAGCCTAGCTGCTTCTGTCTTTCTTCCTTTTGGTTGTGTGTTATAGGAGTTTCTGGAGACAGTTTCAGATGATTATTTAATTTGTAAATATTGTACAAATTTTAATAGCTTAAATTGCATATACAGCCAAATAAAAACTTGCATAAAAAAGTGCAGTGCTTTCTAACGTGGACTTGTATACGTCTCTTCTGTTTGCCCGCATGTGCTGTCCACCCTTCAACACAGCTATAACAAACGAGAGCTTCTGCACGTTGAGCACCAGTGCAGCCAAAGCCTAGGTAGACTTGATGTCCTGCCTGGAAATTCCTTAACCTTCCACCTTCAGAAAGATAAATAGGCTTTTTTGTTTATTTTGTTTTGTTGCTTGTTTGGTTTTCGAGACAGGGGTTCTCTATGTAGCTTTGGAAAGGGTCCTGGAACTCACTCTATAGACCAGGCTGGCCTCAAACTTACCGAGATCCGTCTGCCTCTGCCTCCCGAGTGCTGGGATTAAAGACGTGCACCACCACCGCCCGGCATAAATAGACTTAAAAAAATAATTTCTTTATTGAATCTTTGGGATTTCACATCAGGCACCCCAATTCTGCTCACTTCCCAGACCCCTCATATCCTCCCCTCACCTCTGCAGCACCCCCAAAAGAAAAAAACCAAACCAAACAAAAACCAGCAAGCAAACGAAACAAAAAACAAAACAAAATAAAACAACCTCTCCACCCCTCCATCTTTCCCACCTCTGCAACAGCTCTTCATCCATCCTGGTGGCTTCACTTGCGAATGTTCTTTGCAGTGAGTCGCTGGTCTGGTCCAAGGTCTCTGGTTTCTGGTACACATCATCACTGGATCCTCACCGGAACTCCTCTCACACATCCCTCAGCTGCCTGTCTTAAAGGCTCTCCCATCACCCTGTAATACCCCCTGCTGACACTTAACAAAGGCCTGAGAGACAGTCAAGATCCCGATTATAACAACACCCACAATATTTAAATCGGACAACAGTCTGGTTCGCAGTTTTCAAACAGTCTGATCTCAATACCTCACACTTAAAACCTTTAAGAACCCCCAAGAGATTTTGTTGATATCAGATATTAACTGTCAGTACTTTCACAGAAAGTAAAACAAAAATCAAAGGTGTACTGATACTTAGAATAACCAATCAATTCTACATCAACATAATGTGTATTTTTTTGTTTCTTGAGGCAGGCTCTTCCTACATAGCCCTGGGTGGCCTAGAACTCACAATGTGGACCTCAGGCAGGGGTCCTGGCTGTCTGGAAGCTTTCTGACTATGCCAATGCCATCTGCCATTGGGTTTCAAGAGACAGGATATGTTCTCATGTTTCCCTTCATGTTTATGTCAGCTTAAGGTAATCACTCCCAACTGCAAGTTCGGGGGTTAGTTAGCCTTCATTTTACTGCTGCTTTGTGGCCTTTTGAGATTTTGTTATACAGCCCTGACTGGCCTTCAGCTTAGGAGCCTCCTGCCTCAGCCAGCCAAGTACTGTGATTGGGTGTGTCACCGCACCTGGACCACTAGAAAGGTTGTGATGGTTTGAATGAGAAATGTCCCGTGACATGGGATTCCCCTCTGGATGCTGTGAATGCCATTGGTTTAAAAAGAAGCTGATTTGGGCCTATTGCACTGTGGAATAGGGCAAGACGGGAATTCCAAGCAGATGGAGGAAGAGAAAGAAGCCAGAGACAGAAAAGCCATGTAGCTACCGCAGGAGACAGACACCAAAAGGATCCTTACCGGTAGGCCACAACCACATGGCGATACACAGATTAATAGAAATGGGTTAATTTAAGATATAAGAGCTAGCTAGCAATATGCATAACCTAATAGGCCAAGCAGTGTTTTAATTATATAGCTTCAGTGTGATTATTTCAGGTCTGGGTGACTGCGAAACTAACAAGCAGCCTCCACCAACACTCAGGTATCGAAACACTTGGTTATCAGTGGGCATGCTGGGGGGAGGTGCCATTTGGGGCAGTGGTGCAGCCTTGATAGAGGAGCTTTGGGAGTCCACAGCTTAACCACTTCCAGTCTGCTCTCTGCTTCGTACTCTCCTGCCTTGCCTACCCAGCACAGTGGATTCTTAGCCCTCTGTAGCTGCATGCCAACGTCTTTCTTTGTCTGCTCACGGTGCTGTATTGTAAAGGCAGAAAAGTAACTGCCACAAGGCACAGCCTAAGGCGGCTGCGAGGAGTTTCGTTGTGCTGGAGTCCTTGTGGAACCACACACATGCCAGGCAAGGTCTCCATCACTGAGCTACCTACCGCCCTCGCTGCCTTTGCTTGTTATTTTGTGAGAGGGTCTCACTAAGTTTCCCAGGCTGATCTTGAACTCCCTCTGTAGCCCACACAGGCCTTGAACTTGAGGTCCTTTGCCTCAGTCTCCCAAATAGCTGGGAGTTACAGGTCTGCCACTAGAGCTGGTCTGCGAGGTCTTTGTAGTCACTCCCTTGCAGCATCCTAGAGGGCTTTGGAGATCTAAACACACGGTCTCCACCCTCAGAAGGCTTCCACGGGCAAAGGCACCATTCGATGGCAGGCTAGCCAGGTTAGAACACAGCACTTGCCAGAGCGTCCCAGCCCCAGAGGGGGAGTGCACCGTGCCCTGCTGTTAGCCATCGTCTCCACAAGGTAGTATTTACTGAGGGCACAAACCCAGGGACTTGAGTGACAGAAGCCCCCAGGTTGCCAGGGAGGCGACACAGGTAATTTTGCTTCTAAGCATCACCTGCTTCTCCCTCTAGGTCAGCCCTTCTGGGAGCTGTGACCCTCAATGGCTGTTGGAGCCACTAACTTTTAAGACAGCCAATTTGAACAGCTAGAAGGCATAAGCATAGTAGGAGCTAAAGAGGCTTGGAGGTCGGGTTTTCCTCCTTAGCTGTTTTCAGAGGTGGGGCGACGGTGCGTGTAGTGGACCCTGGCCATGGAGAAGGGTGATCCTCTCCACCCAGGCAGCTGAGTGATGGGAGGTTTTACAAGGCGCCTTCCTTGGGCCTCAGTTTTCACAGCCGCAAAATGAAGAGATAAAATACTATCATCTTTCATCTCCCTTTCATCTTCCTTGCTCCACAGCCTCTGTGAGCCGTAAAGATTTACGTAGAACTTCGTCTCGATCTTATTATTCATCGTTCATCATTTTCCACCGGGGCCAGTGGCAGCCCGTGCATACGGAAGTAAGTGGTTCGTGCTCCCCGGGATGATGGAAGAGGCGCCGGAAACCCAAAGGAGCTCCCCTAGCGCTCTGCCACTGCAAACCTGTCGCTCCCGTCCCATGTGCAGACAGGGCTCAAAGCATTGTCTCTACATGGTCTTGAGTTCACAGGGCAAATAACGACGTGGCCTGTGGTGTTTGCAGAACCCTTCTGCCTCTGGGCACCCTGGGAATGACACTAAGAACAGCGTCCGGAGAGACACACAGCCGCCAGGCATGGTGTGGGCCACAGGGCCCTATAGTGACAGATAGACTGAAGGAAATCAGTGGGGTACATAGGGGAGTCCCCAGCGCAGAGAGCAGCAAGCCAGGAGGAAAAGTAAGTGGTCCCGAGCCTCTGCAGCTACGGAAGGAATGACTCCACACACGGCACCATGGGGGTTGGAAAGAAAATGCCCCCCCACACACAACGGGAGTGGCACTATAAAAGGTGTGGCCTTGTTGGTATGGTATGCTTGTGGGTGTGTTCTTGTTGGAGGAAGTGTGTCACTGTGGGGTGGGCTTTGAGCTTTCCTATGCTCAGGACACTGTCCAGTGGGTCTCAGTCAGCTTCCTGTTACCTGCACAAGATGTAGATCTCTCGGCTCCTTCTCCGGCACCATGTCTGCCTACATGCGCCACACTCTCTGCCATGATGATAATGGACTGACCCTCTGAAACTGTAAGCCACCATCCCAATTAAGTGTTTTCCTTTATAAGAGTTGTCACGCTCATGGTGCCTCTTCGCAGCACAGAAACCCTAAGACAGACACTAAACTTTTCCTCATTTGATCATCCCCCCCAGGATGCCCAGCAAAAAGGGGGGGTCTCTGACCACCCTCTGGGACTCTGGGCCTGCTATGGTACTGTTCCTCAAATTTAAGCACTATGAGCTGACATCCATGTGGCAGAGCTGGGATTGGGCCCAATGAGAAGTCAACCTAACTTTAGGACCGAGTAATCCAGTTATAAAGCAAGTGGGGACAGGAGAGGGGCGTGGAGGGATGGATCGGCAGTTAAGACCACTGTTGAGAACCCAGGTTCTGTTTCTAGCACCCATGTGGGGCTTACAACTATCTGTGACTCCAGTTCCGAGGGATTGGAAGTCACAGACAGGCCTCCCGCTTCCCTTTCTCCTTACCAGAGCTTGGGTATCAAGGTAGAGCAAAGCCCCTCTCTCAGTTCTTAACATAAAGGACTGGAGCTATTCCTGGAAGGGCTTGGCTCAACCTCTATTCCTAACGCTCAGGAATCAGAGGCAGGAGGATCACAACAAGTTTGAGGCCAGCCCGGATTATATAAAAAGTTTCAGGCTCAGCAAAACTACAGAGAGACTATCTCAAAAAAAAAAAAAAAAAAAAAATCAATAGGCCACCAAACAGCAGCCTGAAGTGTTACTCTAGGGTCTCACTTCCCAAACAGTTCCTTCCGCACTCTGCTGGGACGTGCGTGGGCACCAGATGTTTGCCCAGCCTTCTCACTTGACTGAATTTGTCAAATCAGCTCATCTGGGGGTGGGCATGAAAGGGGGGGTTGCGGGTGTGTTGTGGAGACTTCTGAACATACCGGACCATGGAAGCAGAAAAACCTCTGGGGGGGGGGTTTCTCCAACCATCATGATAGGGTGTTTTCTGCTTGCTGGGGTGAAAGAGAGAAGGGCAGACAATCATGTTGGATCATAACTGTCCTATTATCTCTTCCCAAGCCTCCATTTCTTTCATCTCCAAAACAAAACAAAAAAAAAAAAACCTTGAAAAATGTGTCCCCAGGGCCAGAAATCTCAGTGTGTCCCAAGACATCCTTCTAGAATTCCTCAGAAATGACTGAGTGCACCTCCAGTAAGCCTTCAAACTTTGACCGGCTCAGCCCCTCTTTATTGCATAGTCTTTGCTGAATATGGATGGGAGTCGGGGTGACTTTTGAAGCTTGTTGGATGGTGCAGTCCTTCTG